TGAGACCCCCATCCAGCTCTGCATTGGGGCACTGCCCTCACCTAAAGAGCTCCTCCATGGGAATGCCTTCCTCGTGCAGGATGGGTGTGATGAGCTCAGCCAGGTACAGCCAGATATGGGGGATGTCGATCTCCATGTCTTCTGCAATCTCCAGGATCTCCCGCAGCCTGCGGGGCAGAGGCAGCAGGGCTTGGGATGGAGCAGGGAGCCCCCAGCCTTGGGCAGCAGAACAGGGAGCCCCCACGTCTCAGCTCAACACAGGACTGAATTCAAAACCAGGGCAGGTTACCCAGGCAAACTTTGAGCATTTCTAGGACTGGAAACCCCACACCCACCATCTGAGCCTCTCAGCATTTGGTCCCCCCTGCTGCAAGCTGTGCCCACTGCCTCATGCCCCTTCACAGGCACCTGGGAGAAAACAGTCTAACTCCCCACCATGTAGCTGAAGGCAGCAGTAAGAACCCCCTCTCCCCATGGACACAAGCCCAGCTCCCTCAGCTTTACATCCATCCATCCCTCCCATGCCCCCCAACACCAGGTTCAGTCATTTTCTCTTGCACTGGGGACCCCACACCCGGGCGCAGCAGCAGAGTTGGATGCTGAACATGAAGCATCGTCCCTTGCCCCGTGAGCTGTGCCCTTGCCAAGCAGCACAGGGCAGACCTGCCTCGCTGAGAGGGCACACATGGCCCCCGGGCCACCCGCCGCGGTCCCTCACCCCTTGTAGTACTGCTCCTTGGAGAGCGTGCCGGCCTTCACCAGCTGGAACAGGAGGACCCCCATGTGCTCGCGGGCAATCGTGCTCCTCTCCAGCGTGGACTCGATGCCGTTCCGCACAAACACGTACAGCGAGGAGGGGCTGCCCAGCTCCTGCACGCACTGCAGGGCCTCCTGCAGGGACAGGGGTCAGTGCTGCCCCATGGCCAGGCCCAGCTGCCCCCTTCCCCATCCAGGCACTGCCGACATCCTGCCCAAAGTGCAGCTGCCCGGGGGGCTTTGGGGAGCATATCGCATTTGCCTGGCTGCCCCCTCCTCTCACCTTCATGTCGTTGATGTGCAGGTATTCCTCTATGATTGCCTTGGCTTTCTTCTCAAGCTCTTCTTCTGATAGTGTGGGTTTGGGGGGTTCTGCGGGAGGGGCTGGCTCTTGCTTAACTGCAAGGAGAGAAAAGGCATGAGGTGCTGCCCGGGACAGGCAGAGCCTCAGCCCACAGCGAGAGCCTGGCGAGCACCTTCCCTGCCGGACTCACTCGTCTCTCGGCTCCTGTCCCGCTCCTCGGACATGCTAGCAACCTTGCGCACGGCCTCGGCGCCGCCCTGCTTCTCCCGCTCCCGACTCCGGTCTTCTGTCTCTTTGCTGAAGCTCCTCTTGGTAACGGCTGACCTGTTCCTCTCTCCTCGTTCCMCCCGGTCAGGGCGCTCCAGGCGGTCGCTGCCCTTTTCCGAACGCGACTCCCGGTCCCCTCTGTCCCCGGCCTTCTCTGACCGGTCGCGGCTGGAGCTGCTCCTAAGAGAGAGGGCAAGGTGAAGCAGCTCATCACCCCCTCCCCGGCCCCAGAGAGAGCAGCTACACCAAGGCAGGGCCGTCTCATTCCTGGAGGCACATGGGGACAGTCCCAGTGACAAACCAGGAGTCGCCCTTTAGAGCTGCAGCCAGGGACAGGGCCTTTGGGGGAGGATGGGGTCTCTAGCTCCCCAGCCTCCTGCCCTGTCCCCCTCTCTCTTCAAGGCAGCTCTGGCTCCTAGCTGCACACAGCACCAAGATCCCTCCCAGTTAAACAAACCCAACTTTGACCCTGCTCAGACATTCTGTGCTTCAGCCCTGACTATCCTCACAGCCTCCACAGGATTTGCTCCAGTCGACCAATCTCTCTTGTGTCGGGATCACCAAACTGGACATGGCGCCCAGATGTAGTCTCTTAAGTGCCCCATATGAGGATGAACGCCCAGGTCCTGCCCTGTCCTCGAGCAGCCCAGGATGCAATCACCCTTCTTTGCCACCAGGATTCACCAGTGACTCCAACCAGGATCCCAGGGCTCCTTCCTGACACACAGGTTGGTTATCCCAGCCCAAATGCTGGGCTCCAGGCTTGCCTACTGCTCAACCAACTGCTCCTCAACTTAGAGATCTTCTCCTCAGCCTGCAAACACCCCAGCCCACCAAGCAGGTAGCAGACAACTGCAGTCTGAAGCCTCATGAGGGCCCAGGGCGGTGGCACTGACCTCTGCACCACGCGGCGGGACTCCAGGCTCTCGGCAGGGGTGGACTGCTGGAGCGCTGAGAAGCGGTTCAAGGTGCTCGTGGCCGGTCGCCCTGAATCAGATGCTGGGTGTGAAAAGAGGGGAGTCTCAGARCTCAGCACGTCCCCAAGAGAGGAACCACCCTGGGAAGGGTCCCTGTGACACTGAGCCAGCTGGACGCTGCCTACCTGAATCTGCAGGCTTTGCACCAGAGCCGCCGCTGCTGCCTTTGCCCCAGCTCAGCCGCCCRCCTGGCGCAAAGAGCTGGTTGTTGGAGTCGATTGATCCAGGCTACGGGGAGAGACACAGARTGGGCTCCAAGCCCTGCACCAAGGGAGCGGGGCACGACCCGGGCCAGGCAGCCCGCTAAGTCGCCCACAAGCAGCCTTGGCACCCCCCGGGAAGCAGGCTCACCTTGGTGATCTTTGTTAGCCGGCTGGTGTCGATGGGCCGGTTGCCCTTGCTGATGGGCACCGTGTTCCAGCCATCATCCGCGACCAGGCTCCCGCGTCCACCTGCACACGAGTGGGACACGTGTAAGGAACAGTCCCAAAAAAGGTGGTACCTCCACYGAGCTTGGGACTTTGACAGTCCAGGGAAGAATCAGCCTCTGGGGAGGTTCAGGTGTCCCCATGCCCAGTCACTCACTGCTGGAGGATGGTCCGGGGGGTCCTCTCCTCTTATCCTTTGACATTAACTGCTGCACTTTAATGTGTTCCCGATGCTCTTCCATCTCTGCTTCCTTGTGGATCTGGTCTATGGTTTTGGGGCCCTGGTCTCCTCGTCGCGGCACCCAGCTATTCTACAGAAGGCACAGGAAAAGGCAAGGAACACTGAGCCAGCTGCAGTGACCATCTCCCAGGCATGTCCTGATCTCACACCCCACTTTGGGGGGACAAACACCTTAAAACAGGGCTCCCCACTCCCTGGTTGTGTCCCCCTCACTGCTGCGGGCTGGTCCTCCYGCTCAGGGCCACACAGCCTGTACAGCTTCCCAAGCCCTGTGGCAGCTTTCGGCACAGTAGGACTCAGTTTTTGGAGGCCTCCTGCATTAAACAGCTGCCCGTTACTGTGTGCCCCCTGCCACGGCCATGCTAACCAAGGGCTAGGGGCTAGCATGGTGTCTCCGGGGCTGCCACAACTTACATCCCCCTGTGCCCTTCTGTGGGGGGATGCACTGACACAGACTACTGGCACTTGGGGGCCACAAGTCTGCAGCTCCATGGGACCTGGCAGAGAACGCAGGACAGTCCCTGGGCAGCAGCAGGCCATGCATCTTACCCGTCTGAGGTCAATCACATCCTGAAGCATGAAACGGATGCGGGATGACGTCTTCTTCTCTTTGATGATCTTCTCCATCTGGTTGAAGTACTGGTCCATCCTGGGCTGTAAGGGGATAGAGTCATGATCACACCCCTCCCAGAGGCAAGGCAAAGCAAAACAAGGCAGGACAGTGCAGTGCACAGATATGATACCTTCGCCTTCTCAAAGTCCAAGTCTTTGCCAATGGTGGTAAGCAGGCGGCAAAGGCACTCAAGAGATTCCTCATCGTGGTTTTTGAGCAGCTTCACCACGCAGTCATGCATGATGGCCTCCGTCAGCATCTTCAGTTTGAACAGCTCCCCAATGAACTTGATGTTGCCCAGGGATCGCCGGCGGGCCTTGTCCCGCGCCTCCTCCAGCTCGTCCTTCATGCGCGCCTTCTCCTCGGGCTGCACGGGGAGCAGAACAGGGAAGGTCACTCAACACGTCRAGGACTCTCGCTGCAGCCTCCGGCCGCGGCCTCCCACCCCAACTCACAGCACTGGCATCGTCCATCTCCTTCTGCCGTTTCTCAAAGATCTCGTCGTCATCCTTGTCCTTCTCAAACTCCTTCTGACAGCGGTTGAGCAGCAGTTTGCGGAAGTTCACAGTCACCGTGGGTTTGTCTGTCGTGGGCACTTTGAGCTGCAGGGAGAAGTACAACCCAGGGAGGGAACATGAGTCACGAGCCTCCCCCAAAGTAATGTAGGCCAAACCCCAAGCACTGCTCAACCCAGGCAAAAGCCACCTGCACCTAATGACTCCCCACAGGAGCATCCGGCTCAACCTGCCAGTGGCACATGCTTCAGATTCCCCATTTTGGGAGGCAAGAGGCTAAAGACCCCCCAAAACTTCCCAACAGCTTTATAGCTCCATGACCAGAGTCTCCCCACAGCTCTTGCTCACCCCCATAAGGCAACGGCACATGTTAGCATAGGCAACAGAGAAGTTTGGCTCCGAGATGGCCTTCTCGAAGACGAGGTCGATGACACCCTTGAGCCGCTCCTCCGTGTCAATGGACAACTCCATCACCTGCTTCATCAGCTGCTGAAACATCTGGGGTGTCAGCTTGTTGAGGATGCTGCGGACGCGGCGGAGCAGTTCCTGGGAGGACAGCAGGGTTACTGAGACTTAGGTACCATCCCTTGACCAGCAGGCACCAGGTGTGCTGCTGCGCGCGCCAGCTCCCACCTGTGTCTTGATGTTCTCAGGATCCTCCTCCTCCGAGGCACGCTTGCTGCTGGGCTTCCAGGCCTTCTCGGCCTTGTTCAGCTTGACATCCTCGTTGAGGGACACAGTGGCAATGATTTTGCGGGGCTCCTTCCTCTGGCTCTGCTGGGAGCGGCGGGGACCCAACCCTGAGGGCTGAAAAAGAGTGGGGGAAAACTCAGCCTTCTGCCTCATGCTCTCCGGGGGACGGGACCAGCCAGGCTGGCTCCCAGGGCGTCCCCATCTGCCTGCTCAGATCCTCAACTCCATCACGGACATCAGTGGCCCAGACACAGTGGCTCAAAAGCAAGATCATCACGGAGAGGCGGAGGGGGACGGGGAGGGCTGAAGGAGAGCGAGGCAGACACTCACCAGGCTCCGGTTACCCATGACGGGCCGGCCGAGGTTGGCAAAGGAGGGGGTGAAGTCGGGGCTGCAGTTCATGCCGCTGAGGCGGATGGGGTCGAGCGCCCGCAAAGGCGTCTTGTTGGCCTGCGAAGGAACGAGACAGGGCTGAGGATGCCCGGGGGCAGGGAATGGTACGTCCATTCCCCAGCCTTATCACCGGGACAAGGAAGTAGAAAACAGCCTGGGACGTGCCCGGGGAAGCAGGGCACGACCACAGGCTGCCACCAGGGCTCTGCTCATGCACAGGGCTCACTGCAAATACTGCAGAGGGGCAGATGGAGGTCCTGCCTTGCCAGAGCAGAGCTGAGGTGCCAGGCCCCCTCCCCAGGCAGAACCCACCCTCCCCTGCAGCCAGGGCACTACCCACCTTGTCCAGCACCACGTCCATGATCTGGGGCAGTCCCTCAGGTTTCTGCATGCTGGCAAAGATGAACTGGAAGCCCAGCAGGAACTCACGGTCATATCGCTTCTTCTCCTCAGGGTTCAGGGGCTTCCATTGCTCTGCAGAAGGAAGGAAGAGAAAGACCTTGATACAGTCTGTCCCATTCTTTCTACCCTGAACCATGGGGGTCAATGTGGGCCCACATGGAGACCAGCTAGTAAAAATTCAGGTGACCACAGAGCTGCATTGCTCTGGCATACCATGAATGCCACTCCTGCTCACTTGAACAGGGGTGGGAAGTCTGAAGCCACCAGTCCTGTCTTATCCAGGCCCTCCAGGTTGGTCTCTGCCCCCACCCCACACCAGGCACAGGGAGAAGCGAGAAGTGTGTGAGGTTTAGGATCCCCTCCATTACCACCACCGGGTCCAGAGGTGGCAGCTCCTTGCAGAGACCTCACATGATGCCAAAGAGGGCTGCCACGTGCCAGAACCCAGCTCACCTTCCTTGTAGCGGTACTTCTGATCCGCAGCCTTGCCCTTCTCCGGGGCCAGCTTGTCCTCTTTTTCCTCCCACGTCTCCTCCGACTCCTCCTGGGGACGGGCTGGGGCTGCGTCCTCCGCTTCACGGGCAGGGGCGGATGCAGGGGGCTTGTTCTCCGCCTCCGAGGCACTGTCACTGATCTGAGACTGCCACCGGGAGGGATGGGGACAGCGTCACACCACAAGCCCAGCCCTGCCCCTTCTGCCCCAAGCCAAGGCGCCCTGCGTCCCCCTCAGATCCTCATTACCATCACAGAGCATCAGTGGCCCAGACACGATGGCACAAAGCAAAGTTCATCACAAGAGGGGCTGCAAGATGGGCTGATCCTCCAGAGTTCCTAGGRACACTCACCTCTTTAAAGGCATCCAGCAAATCGCCTACTGCCTCCTTCTTGTTCAATTCCTTCATCCGTCGCTTTTTCTTTGGCACCGACACGGCGACTGGGAGGAGAGGCCAGGGCGTGAGGACCGGGTGGCAACGCAGTCCCCTGCACACCCTGACACCAGCTCCAGTGTCCCCAGGGAGGCCCAGTGAACTTGAGGCCAGGGTCGGTGGAAGCCTCAGAACACGGTCCCACTGCCCCAGGCCAGGCCCCTCTGACCCCCAAGCACTGGGTGCCCCTAACCCAAGGGATGGCTTGGACAGGCTGCCCAGGGAGGCTCTTTCTCTGGAGATCCCCCAGACCTGCCTGGATGCCGCCCTGTGCCCCGTGCTCCGGGTGTCCCTGCTGGAGCAGAGGGTTGGACTGGATGATCTCTGGAGGTCCCTTCCAACCTCAACCATTCCAGGACTCTAATCCCGCTCACCCCCTGCTCAGCCTGCAGACACCCACCGCTGCYTGGGAGCGTTTCCCTAGCACCCCGCACCCCTGCCAAGGGCACCCCACAGAACCTCTCCCCAGTTACACACTCCCCCCCAGAGCTCCRGGCACCCTTCCTGGCACCCCACATAGCACCTAGAGATGCCCAGACACGCTCCGTGTCCCAGCACCCCCGGGCACCCTCCTCGAACCCGCTGCTCCCTGCACCCCCGTCTCCCACCACCCCTCACCTGCTCACAGCACCCCTGCATATAGACATACGGCCCCAGGCACCTTTGCCTGGTGCTGCAGGGAGGGTGTAACACCCAGCTCCCCCCAGGACACCCCGTTCCCTCCACGGGCCCTAGGGACGGGCCCTGCACAGGGTGTCCCACACGTGCACAGCCCCTCGGACATCCTTCTTCCCCTTCCGCACATCCCCAGTGCACATCCCAATCCCCTGCCACGGCCCAAAGCATCTCAGGATGCCTCCCCACACAAATGCACGAGGGACCCTACACAGACACACTTGATCCATTCCCTGTCCCCCCACTGCCACAGGCACATCCCAGAGCGACTCCCAGAGCCCCACGCACCCCGCCAYGTGCTCACAACGCACTCTTGGGCAAGGTGCCCCATAAGAAAACACTCCCCACACATCTCTCCCTATCCAGCTAACCACAGGCACCCAGTCACCCGCCACATTCCCTTACTCACCCTGGAGCCCACATTGCAAGCATCGAGCACCCCACAGGAGCCCCTATGCACCTATCACCCCCCACCCACCCCACAGCTCCGCACACGCCAACCGAGTGCCCCCCAACCTGGCGCGGTCGCCTCCGAGGTCTGCAAAGGGGCAGGGGCCGGGCTCGAGCTCCGCTCCTGGGCCTCGGCAGGGCCTTCGCTCTCTTCCTCCTCCTCCTCCTCCTCGGCCGGCGGCGAGCTGGGGGTGTCCGGCTGGGCTGGCTCCTCGGGCTCCGAGATGGGGCTCACGTCCGACTCGGGCTGCTCCTCGCTTGGCTCCGCTCTGTCGCTGCCCTCCACGCCGTTGGGCAGGGGCAGCTCCTCGGGCTGGGCGATGGGGGAGTCCAGAACGGGCGCAGGCAGCGGCTCGGGGGCCGGCTCGGGCGCCGGCTGGCACACGGGCGCCTCGGGGACCGGCTCGGGCGCCTCCTCCACAAGCCCGTTGGCCTCGGCGGCCGCATCGGCCTCGTCCTCGGGGCTGGGCTCCAGCGCGGGCGGCGGGGGGCTGGGGGAGGCGGGTTTGGCGGGCGCCTCGGGGGCCTGCGGCGGAGGCGACGGCGACGGGGCCGGCTCCGGCGGCACGGCTGGCACCGGCGGCACGGCTGGCTCCGGCGGCACGGCTGGCTCCGGCGGCGCCGTGGGCGGCTCGGGCACCTCCGGGGCAGGCTCCAGGAGGGGAATGGCAGCTTCCTCCTCCAGGACCACAGTGTCCACGTCGGGGGCAGGCACGAGGGGCACATCCACGACCCCTGGCACTGTAGTGATGGCGCTAAAAGTCTTGTGCGGCTCGGGCGGCGCCTCGCCCAGCTCCGCTTTAGTGTCCGCGTCCACGGGGGGCTCCATTGGCACCAGCGTCACGGCCGAGAGCAGCACGGGCTCCACCTCGGGAATGAGGGGCGGGGGAGGCGACGGCGACGCCGACTTGCTGGGCTCCAGGGACACGGGCTTGCTCACCACGAGCGCGGGCTTCGGGCGGTCGTCTGCAAGGCCAAGGGCTTTGAGGGGGCTTCCCGACACGGCCCAGCGCCCAACCCTCCCCAGACCCCCCAAACGTGCCCAACACYCCAGGCTGGTGCTGGCAGAGGCGCCACCAGGACTGCAGGTGACCGTGGTGCCCAGGGCAGGGCTGGGGCACCGGGCAGGGCGCTGCAAASAGTCCCGAGCGCCACAGGGACAGGCCACTCGTCACACACGCAGCGAACGTGCCGGCCCCGGGGCTCGCGGCTCGGCCACGTCCCTCCCCGCAGCCCCGAGCACACGGGGAGCCCGACACCGGCCGCCCCGCTGCACGCACGTACCTGGTCGAACAATAACTGCTACATGAGGGGTCTCTCCGTTGGCCTGGGGCTCCAAACCGCTTCCAGCCTGGGGGCAAAGCGGGAGCTGAGCAGGGCCCCGGGCACCCCGCGCTGCCCGGCCAGGGGTGCGGAGCCCTCCTACCTGGGGAGGGGTGGGGGTGGACGAGGTCCTTGCTCCAGACATGATTTCTTCAGTGATATCTTTGCCGCCTTGGTTAGGGTCTCTTATTCGGATCTGCCCGCGTGCCAGGAGGCAGGAGGGAGAGCGAAGCCGTCAGTGGCGGGGGGCGGACATGCAGGTGCCCCCCCGCTGCCCTGGGCCCGGCGGCGCCGGGACACCCCCTTCTCCGAGCAGCAGGGCGAGGGGGGTCATTCGGTGCCTCACAGGGCCCGGGGGGCAGCAGGCGCCATCGCCCCTCGCCGTGGAGCCGAGCGCCCCGCGGACAAGGTGCCGGCCCCGGCGCCCAGCGGGAGTGGACACTGCGGGGCAGGGGAGCCTTGGCAGCTGCTGCTGGGGGCTCCGCAAGCAGCGCCGCGTGCCCGGGGCTGGGGACGGGCCCCCCAGCCTTCTGCAGTGTCACAATGCCCCAGGCACTGCCCGTCTCCAGGGCTGGGCATGCGCTGGGATCCCCCGGGACACYCCCGCAGTGGTCACTGGGTCACCCAGGGCTCATCTCCAACCCTGTGCACGGCTGATGCTGCCGGGACAGCGCCGAGAGCTGCGCTCTCCCCGCCAGCCACTGCCCTCCGGCAGCATCCCCCGGAACCACCCGCGTTCCCAGGAAAACGCCGGCATCCCCCCCGCCGCCCACCCGCGGACTCGGGGCCGGGCGGGCGGCCGCACGCGGCTCCCGCTATAAATAGTCCCGGCGCGCGGCCCCGGCGCGAGCGGCGGCATCTCCGGGAGCAGACGGCAGTTGGCAGCCGCGGCACGGCCGCCCCCGGGAGCCGTGACTCAGCACAACGGCGCCCGCGCCGCGCGGTGCCGCCGCCACCGAGCCGGGCGCTGCTCCGCGCCGCCCGTGCCCCCCGGCAGTGCCCCCCGCGCCGGCACGCACCGCGCTTACCGTCTTGCGCTCGCGCTTGGGGGGAATGGGCGGCTGCTGGCTCATCATGACCTGGGCCGCGGGGACCCCCGCCGGGAACTGCTG